TATGGCTTCTGCAGTCTTTCTGCAACATGTAACATATAACATCTCTGCTGTTTCATACCTAATTCCCTTTATAAGGTCAATAAGACCTTTATCGGAAGAAGAATTTTTTTTGGCATGATTGCTTAGGGACTTTGATCGGCAGCAGTATGTGCCATAAAAATAAGTTATAAACTCATATTTTGATGGGTTCTGAAATTACTAAGGTGAAGCCTTGTGGATTTAAGTCAAACTTTCTGCTACAGCCTTTTTACTCTTGAAAGCGGGAACAGAGGAAAAACATTTGTATTAGCACATGATTAAGTAAATAATTGATTGTGTCAAAATATGGTATTAAAATATAACGCTCGAAGTTTGATGCCACTTTCAAGTACGACATTTGGTTACATGAAACTAATTACAGCATGAGCCTTCGAACTTCACAGTGCAAGGGCTGGCAATGTCTGCATCAGAATATCTGTACTAAATATTTCGTTTGATATCATGTATGATACAATGACTGCCCTTAGTCCTATACGGACTCTATATAAACTAAAATTCAATTGTTCCTTGCAACTACGGCGAGCTGGTCTGAGGCGCAATTTATTTTTATTGAAATGCTTCTATTAACTTCGATCACACACACCTATCTGTCTATAATTAGCATTTACGACTGTGTCCCTAGCAAACATGAAATATATATATATATATATACGCAAATTTAGTAGTTTTGAACTGCTGCATACATATGACATGCTACCTCTTCCGCAATGAGAACCCTGCAAAGTGTGGCATAGACTTATTTAAGCTTGTACAAAGCATGTTTATAATCTTGACCACAGGTATCAAAAGCAACCAGCAGTCGGCACTCGAAGTTATTAGAGCCGTCTCGTCAAGCTGTGTAACGTAAAGTCTATGTGGCCACAGAGACGTAATTCAATGTTAAAATTACCTTGGCTCGTTCGGGTCCTTTTGAGGTTTTTCTTTCTCTTCTTCATCCAAAGTCTCTATATCTCTGGCAGTGCTCAGCATACTACCCTTTTCACCGGTTTTAGTAAGTGGAACCTCAAAAAGGGTACTTAGTTTTTATTGAAGAATAACTAAATCAAACTGTCACCTTCAGAAAATAACTAATCACATGAGCGGCAATATTGTAAATGAAGTTTGTAAATTTGCGCAATACAATTGTAAGAAACATGCCCAAATCAGCAATAGTGAGAAGTGTCATTGGTACTCCTATCAAACCATAAACGATGCAGAATAATCGTCCGTAAAATGTTTCTGGAGCGATGTGTCCGTATCCTGGAATTATCAGTCACAAAAAGCTTCCAATTCTGAAACCTTCACTGCTAAATCTCCTCGAACTTGCAAGATGCGAATTGACGCTGAATGCGCGCGGAGAAGTGCTTAGTGTCATATTACAGAAGGAATGGATTTGCGATGTTTTATAGGTAGCCGAAGGCTGCGTGA